CTCACTGTTGTTTATAAATCTTCAACTGCAAACTACCACCTTTTCTCAGGAAAACAGGACTTTGCACTTCCGAAATTGAGGTTGACAAGATCGACATGTCTTCTCGGCTGCTTCAAGCTGCAACAACAGCGACGCCGCTCTAGCCGCAGCTTGCTATGGGAAGGGGCTTTGAAAGAGGCCCCGCTCATGGAGCCGTAAAAGTGCAAGAGCTTCCATTTTTCGAACACTCTAAATTGAGTTTAAAAGATGTCTTCTGCCTATCTGCGTGTTGGGCCAAACACAGAAGGCTTACATACGAAAATACAGCAACAGAAATGCTCCGTGAAACGGGCAGCAAACTAAGCTTTCAAACTTTAGTTGATTACATGAATTATTTTGGAAATGTTTGCACGGAACATTTCCTAAGGCATTCTTTAGAGACCGAGAGCCCTGGTATGGTAATGAAGATTGACGAGACATTCTTTGCCAGGGGAAAGTAGAACAGCGGTAGGGTTACGGAAAAGCAGTGGTGTTTTGGGGGCACTGAGCGAGGGACTAATAAGTGCTTTATCGTTCCAGTGGACCGACGAGATGCTGCTACCCTTCTGCCACTGATCACGCAGTATGTTGTTCCAGGAACAATTATATTGTCTAGCCAGTCGGCAGCATACAGCACCATCAAAGAAATGTCGGAGGGGTATCAGCATGAGACTGTTAACCACAGCCCCAACTTTACTGATCCTGTGACCGGTGCTTACAGAAACAGCATTGAGTCTCTATGGCAGAAATTCAAGGAGGGTCATAAGACACTGTACGAGACGGAAAGCGCGCCACTGAATTCGTATATGGATGAATTTGCATGGAAAAAAATATATCGGATAATGCCTTATACAACCTCTGGTCTCAAATAGCAAAACACTACTCACCGCCTCCAGGTTTCGTTTGAAAATGCGGAGTTATCTATCGGTTCTTGATCGGTCTACCTAACAACAGCCCAATTTTCGGAAAGTCCCTTGTATGAGAAGCGCTAATGCAGCTTTTCTTCCAGGTTTTCCGCCCTGAAAGAGAAGCGAAATATGAGTATAAATGTAACATCAGTATAGATGTTTAGATACATACAAAACTCTCTTCTTTAACGCTAACGGGAAGAAACCACCAACTTCCACCCGAGGTACTGCATCGTCTACCACTACACCTCATACCACTCGTTTTAGTTACGGCTCCACAAACTGTCCTAGTCTCCGTCGCCTCGTTTGCCTCATACTGCTGTTCCACGTTACTTAATAACCTATTGCTACGAAAAGTCAAACCCGTTTATAATATCTCACAGTTGTTTATAAATATATATATTTTCAGCATTATAAGAGGAGTTATTAACTTTTAGCCGTGGTTGAGACGGTAGACATGTCTCCTCGGCTGCTTAAAGCTGCGACACGTCGCTCTAGTCTGGGAGGAGGAGTGTCTTTCAAGGTCCCTTCTCAAATATATATACGGAGCCGTCAATCGACGAGAGCTCCAAACTTTTTTGGAAAAACTGCTATCTAGATACTAGCATATGTTGATGTTACCTCTGGATTGCAATGAGGAACCAGTTTCAAATTCAATTAAAGAGTGCTTTTTGTATACTGTCCTGGTTAAATAAGTGAAAAATTAATAAGAGAATATTAGTTTACACGTTTTTAGGAGATCGTTCATTCGTCTGTAAAGCATAATGCTTTCATAGTGTAGAGATTACACGACGCAGAATTATGCAACTAAAATGCGATGATAAATCACTTATATTTTTACCAACAAGAATTTGATTCTGTTTTTAAGTTAAAATTACTAAAATGAGTAGTGCTTTTTTAGTTGTTTTGAATAGTTTTAACGTTATCTACATCGGCGCCGCTTTGCAGGGTTTTCGAGAAGCGAATTTAAGCTTTGACTATATCGAGAGGAAAGAATTTCTATTTCCTCGCATGTTGCTTTTTTAATAATTGTAAGCAGCCATAAAGTCTGTAAGTCATCATGAAAATAAGTTGCAGAACTCGATGTGTTTGTTTGGTTAGGAATTGAGAAGCGGTCTGAAAAAAATATTTGGATCCAGGATGACGGGAAGTTAGTTGACTTAAACAATCCGTTTTTGGAAGAGATCAGAGAAGAGAGCTCTTCCTGTGCAGGCATTAACTTGATGAATAACGTGGTGAAAGGGGTTGAGTGCAGTATTCTGAAGCCTGTACTGTGCGAATATCCAAGTAAGTTTTCCCACCTTATTGCATCTTTTTTCCTCGCTTAGTTGGAATCAATTTTGTGGATGACAACATCTTCTTCTGGGCAACTAATACATCCAAAGCGACATTTACCCGCAAATTTGTTAGAGAGATGACTGGAGAAAAAGATGATGGAGCGCTTCTTGAAGCTACATGGTATAAAAATTGAAACTTTATAATTTGTAGTTGGAGAAATTTGTGTTACATTTGATTTCTCGAAAAATCTCTCCGCAACAGTTTTTCCTGTTTTTTCATCTCTAATTTATTCCGACCTCTAAGTTTTTCGGGCAAAATTGTCACCGAATGCCGCCTTGAATGACCTTTAAAACGCATATGGAATATAGATGTCCGAAATGCATTTAGTCGCGTCGCTGGCACAGGCAAATAACAGGAAGTAGCACCTGTTATTCCCATAATCCGATACGACTCCCAGTAGCCTCAAAAACAGCTAAATTCTACCAAATACTTAGAAGCCTGATCGGATCTGCTTCTGTGCGATATGTCCTTTTTGTCGCTCGCCATAGCCACCAATTCCCCGTTTGTACTTTCCCAACGAAGTTATCTGAGTATCTAAAAAGAACTTCACGACAAATAGCATTGTTTTCAGCACACATCCAAGAATTATTTGAACTTTCTCTTCAGGGAGGACTACTTTCGAAATCAAAAAAAACTGAATAAAGCACCTGGAAAAGGAATTCTCCATTAGTTCACGCCTTGTCAAGGCTGAAAAAAAAATCAAATAGCTTTTTCCCCTTAAAGCTTCGCTCAAAGATTTGTAACTTTTTGAAGAAGCGGAAGAAACAAGTCTTCAAATTGAAAGATACACTTCATGTACGGGATCGAGTGAGTTGTAAACCAAGTTATTAGATGGAAAGTAACGTAGAGACGTAAAGGTCCAGCTAAAGAGTAATATTTTCATGTTTTTATCATGAAAGAACTTGTCATCGAACCGAGACTGCTATATTTGAACAATCTTGTCCTTACTTTACTCAAGCTGATGTTTCTGAAAAGTGGGGCCCATTTAGGTAAGGAGCGTCTTGGGACACACAGTGGAACCAGTGTTTTTCAAACTGATTACAAAATATTGTACTGAATTAAATGTAATTTTAGTATTTCACTTGCGTCCTTCTTCTTTCCCTTTCTTCTGTGTGTAAAATTTTTTTTCAGTATTTGAACCTTTTCAGCTGTAATACGAACTGGCAATAATTTTAAGTGTACGCCGTCATTCTTTTACTAATACTTTGACAACGTCCACAGAACTGTGACAGTGCTTTAGCCAATGTGCAGTACTTCTTACTATTCCAAATGTAGTATGCAGCTGGTAGAAACGTGCGCATAAAAAATTTTAAAATATCTTTTTTGCTTAACTTTCCCCAACCTTCCTTTGGTGTCGCAGTTCCCACTCAGTGGGACCGGAAGTGAGACTGCAGGGAGTCGCATGAGCCTGCAGCAGAATTGCTCTTCAGGAAGCTTCCTTATTTCTGGTGTCAAGCGCAGCGGTGTAAGATGCCATCCAGAGTCACTTTATGCTCAGGCTGCTGACATTCCTATGCATCTTGGACAGGATTTCTGCTTGAGAACAAATGGAGCTTTGATCTTAAAAAGCTTCCAAAAGATTCATAGATGAAGCTGCTTAACCGTGACCTGGCGATAACAAATTCTCTTTCAAGCAGCTAAAAGTTCCAGTTCAGTATCGTGCAGTTGATTCCATCACTAGGCGATCAGCAGCTGAATTAGGGGGAGGTCAGTGCTTCTGTGACAACAGCTGTCTTCTTTTAAAAATAACCGTTTAGCAGTAAAATTGACTTTTTTTATGGTACCACAGCAGTTTATGTTTTCCTTTTTTTTTACAAACTATTCGCATCCTTGTAAATTGACTTTATTTTCTTCATCTACGCAGTCCTCTGCATTATTTAGGCTACTGATAGTTGTTTAGTTTAGAGCATCTTATACTAAACTATGGCTTATCACACAGTTGTTTAATGCTTTACCACGCTGATAAACTGTAATGGTTAGCGATTCATTTACCGCCTCTGTTAATTTTGTTAATATGGACTGCTGGGATCTTTAGCGGTTATATCGGGTTTGAAAAATAAAAAATATAGGAAACATTTCCACGCATAGTACAACTGTATGACAAAATAACCGAGCTTTGTGGGAATTGGCAGCTAGTATAGCTTTAAAAGCCTGAAAAAAGTGTCCCAATGATAACGCGAGCAAGCATAGGTGGACTTTTCGCGCCTGCATTGCATTGGGAGACAAACTTATGGGCAGTAGTTGCAAACGGCATCAGTTTAAAAGAATGTTTTTCTGTTAACAGTGTGTAAAAAATTGCAAATGTTCTTTTCACCTTTCGTCGTACTGCACACTTGGACACCGTTTTAAAGGCGAAAATGCAGCCTATAAACACATCAAATATTTTTAAACTTTAAGAATTCTTTCTTAAGTTAAAAATTTTTTTTGAATAGCGTAGAAATGCATACGAAATTGTCGAGTTCCTTTCCTGCTTCGGAAATTCGTATCCAGGCATCATTAGTTAATATAATTTGAAAAATTCCAAGTTGAAAATTGGAGGATTTGGTGTAAAGTTTCCCGCA